TTTGGTTCGTGTTCAGATCATTGTGGTTGTGGTTTTGCTTTGTGTTAAGATATCCACTTAAATGATGTAAATAAATTTGAAAATGCTAATCTACCTTAAAATCAAAAACTAAAAAATTATTCAGCTAAACCATGATAAGTTTGAATAATGTATGCTAAATGTCTGAAATTAACATGAAGATTGGTTCGATCGAGAACTCGTAGGTATATATGATAGTTTCGGTGATTTTAATATTTTGGATATTTTCAGATATTTAATTTTAACTTATTAAAATATTTTGGATGATTCTGAGTATTTTTGGATATTTAAGATTTCTAATTATTAAATCAATATGATAATATATATATAAGTATATAATCATGACTCTGGTATTTTGGGTACCTAAAATAACATATTTGGGGTCGGGTTCATACGGGTTTTATATACCAAAATTTGAAATTATTCAAATATTTTACTTATCTCAGTTCGAATTTAGTACAATTTTTTAAGTAAGATCCGGTTTGGTTTAAATTAAAAATGTTGTTTCACATCTGTTTTGAATTTGATTTGTTTTTGGCTTGGATCTGCATGTGATTTTGTTATCAAAAATGGAAATCTAAGTTAATGTCTAGCTAGATCTTGAAACGATTCCCAAATAAAAGAGTACTATTCAAAATATCCATCACACAGGTTTTAGAGAGCCTTATTACATAGAGTGGTTTGATCTCAAAATCAAAAGGGTAGAGATGTTAAGTTGAACCGGTTTTACTGGAACCAATGGTTATTCAAACCAACAATGAGCGAAATTTATGGTACGAGGCTGAAAGTGTCGGGTTGGTGGTTTTACACGGTTGAACGATGGATTGTGACAAAATTACCTTCGAAGTTAGCATCGTCGACAATTTCTCCAGTCTCAACATCGATTTGGTCTTGCCCGATAGCCATCAAAGTTCCGCGGGTTGTATACCCTCCAGAGGCCTTCCGTGTTAGGCGGTATTAGATGTGGGTTGAGCTAGAAAACATATATTGATGTTTGCTTTCGTTTTCAAAGAAAATTTAAAATATATTCTTCGCTTGAATCATGCAATCGGATCTACATTTTCCAGAACAAGGTGACAAGAAGATGAAAATGCAAGAAAATGCAAGAAAAATCTAGGTTTGACCAAATGTTTTGGTGGGGATGATGGTGGAGATGATCTTGGAGGTGAAGTTGAAGGTGATGCATGCCTCACTGGGGCATGACAGTGGAGCAAAAATTATCCAATAGACTGATTAGGAGGCATCTTAAACTAGGGTTTTCTCTTATTTTATTGTTGTTCTATGATCATTTCGTACACTTCCGGTTAAGCTCTCCGAGCACCGAAGTCACCCTTTGTACTCTTTTCTGACTATAAATAAATTCTCTTTCCAAGATTACTCATTCACACCTTCGTAAAAACCCACCGACGAGTTTCGTCGATCATCTTACTCGTTTATCACCAACAATGATAATCTAAGTATACATCCAGATTATCCAATGTTGGTGCTATCATTGTCTCACTACAAGAAAAAGGGGCTTTATTAGCGGACGAAAAACGCTATCTAACGATTCAACAGCGGTTTAAGGAACGATGTATCATCACCCGTCATAGTAGGTATGGCACATTAGATAACACTTTTTTGCGGTGTTATCATATTACGATATACTATAGCGCTTTTTTATATGCAATTAAATATTCTTTAATAGCATTTATTTTTTGTTATTATTTATATCAAATTTATTTATTTATATTTATTAATTCTGTTAAATAATTTTTCTAAACATAATTAAATTTTAAAAATTGATAAATATATTTAAAATTTCTTTATTATTTAAACTAATTTATTATTGAATTGGTTTACAGAAAATAGGATTTACAAATTAAAAAATAAATCTAATTAGATAATAAGTTACTAAACCAAACAAACCAAAAACCTAAACCAAGACTAAACCTAATTACTAAACCTACGCCGCACACCCACCTTCTTCGTCTTCTACATCGTCTCATCTTCACTGGTCATGTTCTTCCATGCCTTCGACATCCAGCCATGGTTCTTCTTCTTTGGCGTCCACATCACGAGAGCCTCCGTGAGTTAATTGTTGTCTTCTTCCTTTCGTCGCCGCTGCAGTCTCCGTCAACCACGAGAGCTCCGACGTCACCATCTTCAAGTCACACAACGAATTTGTTACCTCCTCCACCATCAAGCTCATCTTCCCTGTAACAAGAACAAACTCAAAACAGAGAGAGAGAGAGAGAGAGAGAGAGTCTCTCTCTCTCTCTCTCTCTCTCTCTCTCTCTCTCTCTCTCTCTCTCTCAGAGAGAGAGAGAGAGAGAGAGAGAGAGAGAGATTGAAAGGGAGAGAGACTGGCGTAGATGGATCTGAGAAAGCAGCAACAAGGATGGCGGCGGCGAGTATAGATGACGATGGCGATGAGATCAAGATCCGTGAGGACGGCGACGAGCTCAAGATCCGTGACGGCATCAAAGTGATGATGATGAATCTATCTCGTTTACAAGGTAGAGAGTGAGAGAAATGAAGATCTGGGCTGTGAATAACTCACGAAAGAAAGAGAAGAGGAAAAGGAGGAGACTTGGAGAAAAGAGAAAGTGGAGAAAAAAAATTGATTTTAGACCATTAGATAAAAACTAATCAATGGTCAAGAATTGATTATCCTTGTACTAGAAAAACAGACCAATGAAAAAGAAGTTAGAGGATAGCCACAAGATTGATTTATAACCCTTAGATTAAAAATAATCAATGGTTAATGGTTTAAATATGAAGTTTAGAGTTTAGGGTATATAATTAAGTGAGTTTAGAATTTGGTAGATAGTGTTTTGGTTTTAAATTTAAGACTTAAGATTATACTTTTAAATATCAAAATATTAGAGTTTTAACATTTGTAGTTATAATTTATGTTATATGATTAATTAAATTTAAGGGTTTGGATTTAATGTATATAGGTTTGGTGTAAGATATAGGGTTTTAGATTTAGAGATTATGTATGATATAGGGTTTGGATTTAATGTATATAGGTTTGGTGTTTAATTTTTAAATATTTAAGTTTATAATTTTACATTTAAGATTTGGAGTTTAAGTTCTAAAATATTATAAAGATTATTAGTGTATACGTATTTCAATTTTGCTTTTTAAAGTATAAGGTTCAGAAGTATGTTTAGGGTTAAGGGATTCAAAAAGTATGCTATTATAGCGTTTATTATTTTATGTGCTATTAAATGTACGCTATCATAGCGTTTCCAATTATGTCAATCTATCATAGCGTTTTTAAAAATGCAAACGCTATCTAAAACTTACGGATATATCAACCATAGCAGAAAGCGAAAAAACGCTATCCTGGTCTTCTATTAAAACTCATTTTTCTTGTAGTGTCTCTATGTCATAGTCCCCTTTTCTTTTATGTTTATTGTCTAAGTTCTCATTCACAGAAGTTTTCATAACCTGAAGAGGATTTCCCCCTCTTCTTCTTCTTCATAATCTTAGTTTTCATAAGGGAGAGGATGCACAACAAGGAGGGGATCCGAAAATAAACTGATTAGGTGGTATCTTAAACTAAGGTTTTCTCTTATCTTATAGTTGTTCTTTGATCAGTCCGTACACTTCCGAGTAAGCTCTCGAGCACCGAAATCATCCTTTGTACTCTTTTCCGACTATAAATAAACTCTCTTTCCATAATTACTAGTTCACACCTTCGTAATAACCCACCGACGAGTTTCGTTGATCATTGTACTCGTTTATCACCAACAATGATAATCTAAGTATACATCCAGATTATCCAATTTGGTGCTATCATTGTCTCTATGTCATATTCCCCTTTTCTTTTATGTTTATTGTTTAAGTTCTCATTCACAGAAGTTTTCATAAGCTGAAAGAGGGTTTCCCCCTCTTCTTCTTCTTCTTCCTCATAGTCTTAGTCTCACAATACTCTCTCTATTTTCTGGTTACTCCCATGAATCTCTTTTTCAAGTTACTTAATCTCTTAATCTAATACAATCTCTCATATTCCCACCACACATTCTCAGTCTCTGTCATCATTCTCTCTTTTAATCAAGACTCATTCAACTTTGTTGTGAGTTCATCACTCATATAGTTAAAGACTCTAAATCTCACATGATATCAGAGCTATGTTGCTTAGATCTTGTATGTTAAAAAATGTAAAGATAATTTCATTGTAAATATAAAATAAACAATAAATAGTTTGTTTTTACTTATATAAAATGTATAAACATATAATTACTAATTCATGATTTAATGGGATTATACATTACATAAAATTTTCTATAAAAACATATTATCTTATCTATTTGTATTATTTGAATTGATCAGACTCGAAACCGAATAAATTTATTAATTTATCGTATTTATTAATTTATAGAATTTCTGCCGTACAATGTACAATATATTTGTTTACTCAATTTCCTTTACCAGTATACATGGGGAGATGGCAGTAAATGCTTCATTATATCAATGTATACAATACAAGGGCTCGAGTTACACAATCTCACTGTTTCTCAATAGTTTATCATGCATTTTGAGAAGTCATATTTAGAATGGTTATAAATATCAAAATACATGTCCATTTATTCTTCAGGAGTACTTGCTTGATAGTTAATGATAATTGTAATAAGATCCTTTGCATAGATCTTTGTTCATTACACAGACAAAATGTAGATAACAAAAAACAATGAATTATAGCCACAAATCTAATAGGCTTACATGAAGAATATCTCTTCTAAGCTGAGCTTTTACGTTTTTGAGGGCTATAAAACGTGATCAAAGTCACACATTACACAAACATTGGTCAATCACATACATACAACAAGGTAGAAACGATTTAAACACTCTTGCTGAGCAATCACAGAGCTTCACATGCCAATACGTGTCCAGCGACGATCGATCCAAGTATCAATTTTTCATCACTATAAGTCTTATAACCTTAATTAAATGTATAATATTTACACAAACGCCACTTCATCCAATACTTCTCAATGCCCCGAATCAGAAAATTGTGAACGTCCAGACTCCGTAAGTTTGAGTGAAGGAGCAATAATACAAGTCTTTCCCGTACCTAAATAAAGTTCGGAAAGATAATTACCCAAATCCTCAGGGACGTATCTAACAATATCTCCCCAACTCTCCACGTGATACTTCTCATAAAACGACGTCGCAACATCAGTTAACTTCTTCGCCACGCTATCTTTCAAACCCTCTCTCATCTTCGAATCCGGCACCACCCAACCGCTCTGCTTCTGAAACGCCTCCTCAAACTTTCCGTTGAACCGCCTCAACCGCTCTTTCGCCACGTCATCCTCAAGCATCACCGCCTCTCCATCAGAAAGTGACGTCACCACTTCCCCCCACGCCATCTTCTCGTACTTCTCCAGGTACTGACTCACTTTCCCTTCGTGATTCCTCACCCACTCTTCCCCCAAGACGACTCTCAGATTCGACCCACGTACCTTGGAAATCACGTAATCAAGATTGTTCGCCAAGAAAAGATACGTGAGCGCCACGTTCTCGTACATCCTTGACTTCGTGTCGATCTTACACAACAAAACAAGTATCAGCCACGCAAGTCTTGTCTTCACATCCTTCTTATCATCACCCTCGCTGTTCTTGAAGTAATCCTCCGGTAAAGGAAGGTTCGACTCCGTGAGAATCCCGGCGAGAGGCTCGTCGTAGTCAGCCAAGAACACGACGAAGTTCATCACGTACCTCGTCAGCGGATGAACGCCGCCGCCAGGTATCGCCGACTTGGACGACTCTTTGGTCACGGAAGCTTCGAACTCAGCCACCATTGAGTTAACAGATTCGCCGAGGCTCCTCAACGAGTCGGCCGCTTGTAACCTAACGGCTGAAGTGGACTCGTAGCTGAAGATCTCTTCGATGCGTGGGAGAAGAGTTGAGATCGTTTGGTACACGTCGAGAGTCAGAAAGATCTTCTCGGCGGTTTTGCGGCACCTCGCGACGCTCACGGGGAAGATGAAGAGAGTCAAGGCGCTATCGAGGGTTATATCTGAGAAGCAAGACTCGGCGACGGAAGGTGACGTGGAGAACACGTGGTCGCATAAGATACGTTCTCCGTCGAAGAGGTTGTTTATTACAATTTTTGTAGCTTCTAACCATTTTTGTATGTTTTTCTCCATGCTGTCCCAATCTAGTTTCTGAATCTTGCCGAAGCTTAGGTTCTCGAACCCTAACTTGCTCAAGGAGTCAACGATGATTGCTCTTCTAATCTTTTTGTAGATTTTAACACATTCGTTTTCGTAGCCTGAAGATATCATACAATCAGCGATCATTTGAAGATCGGTCATGACATCTGCCTCTTCAGATTTTGTAACGTTATAGATGGAAACTTTTTTCCTAGGGTTGAAGGATGGGATGGATCGGATAGAGACGGTTTCTGGATCAAGATTTCGTCGGTTAGATTTTAGGACTCGGTAGAACTCTTTCTCCAAGTGTTTCATTGCGGTGCTGAGGAGATTATGTGCTCTTGTGAGCTTGTGTGACTCGGGATTCACAAGCATTACTCCTTGAATAGCGTATTGTAAGCTGTTTATAACGTCTACGAATTTTCTTCCTTCGACGCGGTTATCGGTGGAGAAGATTGAGGAGAGTGAGCATGAAGCACAAGAGGAGAGATCTGTAGAAATCCATTTCTTGGTGAAGGTTTCTGTTGCTTCAATACTATCTATCAATAGAGATTCAGAGAAGCTTTGGTATGGACGTGGTTTTGACCTTTTTGCATGGGCCGTATACGGTTTGAATAGTAGCATCATTTTGTTTTTTGTTTTTTAAGAACAAAAGCCTTTAGGTTTGTAAATGTGATTGGAAGCTCAAGAATGTTTCAAGTTGAAGAAAATGTTGGTTTTGGAGGTTCTAAGGAAGTAAAGTTTTCAATGACTAAATTATGTTTGAGGTCTTTGATTCGAGTCTATAAAAGCATGTGGTTATCCACCATTCTCTTTTCGTTTTTTTCTTAGAAAAGATAATTGAGTTACTATTGTATTAAACTTTAGAAAATTCCACTTCTAAAATAGCAAAAAAAAGGAGTAAGAAAATGGATTTGGATTTGGTAATCTATTTATAATATGGACATTTTCTAAAACTTCATGTTTTGTTCTAAAACTTCAAGTTTTGAGTTTTGTTTATCTAATTAACCTAGAATGTAAAATTGAGATCTTCACATTTTTTTTTCTTTCTGTTGAAAAATAGATCTTCACATTTTAAAAAGAAAAAGGTCTAAAACAAAAATTCTTAAATATTTATTGTTAACAAATAATTAGAATACCTAATATTATAGACAACCCCATGGAACTCATTAGTCCAACTCCTTAATCAAACTGATTAAGACAGCAAAATGCAAAGAGCAGAGAGCAACACCGCTCCAATCCATCTGGAGTGAAGCGAATATTTCAATACTACATTGACAAACCAAAGGGAATTCAATCTTTAAAACTCAAGTTATACCAAATCCTCTCGCCTTGTCAGAATCCTGCAAGAGAGATTTACCAAATACAAACAGTCTACAAGAAACTTACTCGTAAAGGAACTATACTGGAAATTCAAGAGTTTGAACAATTGGTTACATTTTGGTGATCCATATCGAAGTTCTTCTATGCTGCTAAAACCTAAAGTAGAGGCCTCAGAGAAACTAAAACGAATATAACTAAGTTTGTGAGGATCTGAAGATTTATTTTTATCCTGATGATGCATTATTTATTTTGTCATGTCATGCGATAAATCATATGCGACTATCATGAAAATATTACCGGGGTATGATAAGGTTTCTGGTCAAACTGTGAATTTACATATATATTATCTAGCTTATAGTTAAAGTTTCTACAGGATTAGACAGAGCACCTCCATCGGCGCTTCTTAGACAGGGGTTTTAAACAAAAGACAAAAAAAAAAAATGAAAAAAGATGAAAAAACACAGAACCGGTACTCAATATGGGACTTTTAGAATTGGTAAGCACCCTTACGTGTCACTCTCACTCTCGTGTCTCTCTCTCTCTCTCCTTTTTCTGGGTTTTGATCGGAAATCTCTTCCTCCTCCAATGTCGATAATTCCATCTTCTGTCTCGAGCCGTTTCCGTTACTGCTGTGTCGATTTGATTTTTTTTTTTTTTTTTTGAATCGCCAGCTCGTCTTCGTCTCTTAGTGCATGCCACACAACAGATCTCTCGACAGGTACGTCATGTTTGGGTCAATGAAAGTATTGGATCCTGCCTTTCAAGGATCTGGACAGAAACCGTATTGATTTTTGATTTTGAGTTTTGGACTAATTAATTTTTGGGGACTTCATAGGGGTTCTATACCAATGGACCATAACAAATTAAATTACATTAGAAGGGGTTCTAAACTTAACAAATTACAAAATTTACAATTAAACTAGTGATCAGAACCTATCATGGGTTCCAACCATTGGAGATGGTCTTAATTTGGAATCATACCGTGGTTTTACTCTCATCACCTACCTACTTCAGAACACGTGAAGGCCCATTGGGTTGCTGATACTGACCTCCGAAATAAAGCTCGTAAAAGAGCACCTTGTGAATTATGGACGTTTGGTCACTAGTTATTGATTTTCTTTTTTTTTCCAGAAGTTCATATATCTTTCAAAACCTAACAATGACATTGGACGTACTTAACTTATGGGCACAAAAAATCAAACATGGAGGGAAACTGCTTTCGTTGGACAAAGGAGAATATGTTGAATCTTCCAACATATCAAACATTTCGGAACGAACTGCAAAGATTTGATAGCCAAAATTAGACGAACCTCATGTATGACCAAACTTCTCAACTGAATTGAAGAAGATCCAAGAACTGAAGAAAAGTTTTTACGGCTTCAAGATTTACTATATTTCTTGCCGACAAAATGAAATTGTAGATTTCTTAATTGGAAACGCTCGTTATTTTCATAGATTCCTTTACTTTGTTGATTATTTTATTCTGGTCTAATTACTCAGGTCATTTCAAATTTGAATAGTTAAATGAATTTCTTATGTCAAAAAATATCGAAACATCTTTTATTTATTTATATACTCCCTCTATTTTTAATATATCAAGTTTTAGAGAATTTTTTGTTCGAAATTAATGTTTTTAATTTACAATGTAAAATTTACTAACAGTTAATGTTAATTGACCAATGATTTTATACATTTGATTTTATTATGTGTTGAATTGTTATTAAATAATAATTAATTGTATTTTTATTTATAAAATGAAAAAATAAATATTGTCTTAATCTAACAAACGAGCTGTGATCAAATAGTAAAGAAGTGTATAGTAGAAACTTTGCCACTTGAATTTATTTTTTGTTGAGAATGACTATTTACATTGGTTAGGTTTCCGGCAAAGAAATAAAACCACTAATTTTTTTTTATCAAACGAAACAGAGAGAGTATAATTCTCCCTTTTTAATTTTGTAGGGATTTTTCAAGCTACTGTTCGTTCACAAAGATCTTTAGAATCATAAAACTTCAGTTTATTTTCATTCTTTAGAAATGGATTATTTTCTATCCTTCGCATTTTTTTTAGTTGGTCTCTAACTAAAAAAAAAAAGTAAATACTTGAGCTTAATTGCTTTGGCATATTTAGTTGTAATAATGTTTACATTCCCTCAACTATAAAAAACCATAGAACTTCCTGAAATAATTAGTACTAGATTTATGACAAAATAAATAAATAAATAAAATTAGTACTAGATTTTAAAATCACGGGATTAATTTCTAACTTAAATATTTTTCAGTAACAAAAATTATGATTTATATAATTTATTTATAAGTTTTTATATAATTATAAAAATATGTGTAAAATTCATTATGGTTATTTTTCTTAAGTGGAGTAAAATTTAGAAAGTTTTAAATTATTCAAAACCGTAATATATTTTATGTATTTATTTCAAATGTTTTGACTGAATTTTTTAATAATTTAATTAAATATATGTTGGGAATTTAGGATTGAATAAATTAGTTAGCTATTATTTAGGAATGTTTCTTATTTAGAGATCATGTTTAAAATTAAGTAATGGCATGACAATGTAATTATAAAGAGAAATAATGGCAAAATCCTAATAGGTATTTTGATTTAATAGTATAGATTTATAATTTAATTATAGATTTTTGAAAATAGATAACTTTTAACTATCTTGATATTCAGAGGTATTCTTTCGAATATAAAGAATATTATAATCTATAAAGAAGGTCACTGGATATTTTGCGAAATTTAGATATAGAGAATGACTTAGCATATATAATTGAATATATAAGTACCTTAATCACTTTTAGTATATTTTTAAGCAGTAGTTATATTGCAATTATGAGATTAGTGGCTAGGTTCAAAGTTGTATATATGTTAGTGATAGTAATCATTCTAGCAAAAGTTGAATCCCAGCTTTTTCAATATTTGTCCCCACTTTGACACATTACTTAGTGGGTATATACGATGTATAGTCCTATTCTTCTTTTTTACACTATATAATATAGGACTAGTAAAAATATTTATTTATTAATACTGATACTGATAAAACTACTTACTGCGATACGAATATAAACATAATTAATTTCAATATTGTTAAAATATGCTCAATGTCAATTGTTAATCTTTAATTTAGTTTTGCAAAACTTTTCGAAAGATATTTTCGGGCATATTTATTGAATGATTTAGATGATATACATTAGTTTGGATTTAAAAGATAAAGCAAATGACGTTACAAATAGTCAATTACATCGTCTCAATCGTGGTCGTTTAATACTTTAGCTTCAGATATAAAAGCTATATATATATATATGTGTATTTACACATAATTTACAAACCCATCATGTAGTTTTACAGTTTGGTTCCATTTTATTTCAAATGGGTTTTAGATGGTTTTGCATGTATTATAAACATATCGAATGACGGCAATGGCATGCATATAAATGCGATGGAGACATAGTAGAGAGATTAAGAAAATAGCATGATCTTATATATCAGATTATGAAATCCAGCAGATGTGGTCCGGTGGTATTTGAAGTTGTAAGTCATACGTACACATATGTCGGACCCATTGGTTTCAGGTTTCAAGAAGAATGTTTCACATTGCCTTTAACGAGCTGACATACCCTTAATTAATCAGATTCTAATCTGGATTGATAATCTATTGGGATTTTAACATAGAGGAATGTTTATACAAAATTCATAGGTTTATCTGTTGAGACTTCGTGAAGTTCTTCCCAATAGAGAGATCCAAGACTAGGATACACCAAAACGCCACTTGATCGGAACTCATTTGGCTAATGAATATCTTTTTTTTTTGAACAAACCTTGATTAATAAAGAGGAACTCAAACAGAATTAAAGTTCATCAAAAATTATTTTTGTACTTGGAATGTGCCTAACAAAAAGAAAGATCGTTCTGTATAGACCATGAGATCACGAAGTGAGTCTCCTTGCCGAAAGTAGCACGGCCAACACCTCCCTTTGACGTACACCACTTCACACCTTCATCTCCTCTATTAGGCGTCTATGAACAAAGCTTCATCATTCTGCTGCTACAAATACAATCTATTTTGTCAAACTCTTGACAAATTCTGTTTTTAAAGGCCAAAAATGTCTTTGTGGTTTTGAATGGGTCAAGCTAACGTTATTAATTTGTTACCCTTCTCAATATAATTTTTAGCATAACATAAAGTTTTTAAGAAAAGAAAAACAAATATCATCACAAACAAATTTGAAAACCATTCCCAAACATATATGGAAGGGTAGAAAGTATAAGGAGTCAAAATGTGAAATAAATGTATCAAGTTCTCTTTTTGAACATTTAGAAATCAAACAAAAGTAAAATTGGTAATGAAGGTGCAAGATCCAGATTTCTCCAAAGTATGCTTTCCACACACTCCTTCTTATGAGATGGGACCCATTCTATAATAATATTATCTCTTCTTCGAAAAAACATTATGTTAATAAAATGACTCGTAGCTCTCCCCTTTAAAACCCGTATTAGTAGCAATCACACGACTATTCTTCTAATAAAAACAGACAGAAAGTGTGAGTGTTATAGTGAGAAAGACATACATAGAGAGAATGAGGATAAGTGATATTTTCTGCTCTTCTCCGGCATCAACAGCCGTAAGACGAAGTACACTTCCACACGGTGGAGAAATCACCGGAGGCCGCAGATCCGTGGATAGCCTCCGCCGTAGACAAAACCATAACAGCACTAGAGACAAAACCGCCCCATGCTTTGCATCCGAGATGCCTTTTATCCCAATCCCTCGTCCGACCTTGAGCTGTAGAAACTCTTTTGAGTCGTCAAGCGGTTTTCTCCGGAAGACCCCTACGACGGCTACCAGCGGTGACGTTCGCCGGAAAAGCTCAGCTGACGTAAGCGACGTCCTGAGGAGAACGAGGAGTACTTCTCTACAAGGCTCATCATCGTCGAGGTATCTTTTAAAGGATCATAAGTCTTTTAAGGAAGATGATAAGGACGTTTGGTTATCATCATCGGATCGTTCTAAGGATTTGATTCCCTTTCGTGACCGCAACGTCACTTCTTCTTCTTCTTCTTCATCTTCAACTTCCTCATCTTCATCATCTTCTGTAACCAATGTTTCATCGCCGGCTCCATCCATTGATGATGATCAGGTTTGATTGATCTTGTTTTAACCAAAGTATTTTATGGTTTAAATTTTCATTTTATGATTTGGTTTTTTCAAGTAATTAACCTGTTTATTCCTCATTCAAAAGGTTACCTTTATATTCAGTATGGTTGATAAAATTGAGTTTTTACTAATTTTAATAGCACGTCCATCTTTTTCACCCTAAACAGTTTCATGCAGTTGTGACTCAATAGTAGTTCAACTTATTCAAATATCCTCCAAACCATATTTAAAGTTTTGAAATTTACATTTTATCCAAGGGTTATTGATGATACCTATTTAGTTGTAAATATATATATGCACATAACATAAAGCGTACATAAATTTAACATGTGGCTCCCTTTATTTGTTGTTGTTTATGTTATCACTTGTGTTCTTAAATTTAGTAACAAATTGTTGAATATTTTATTATTCTTATTTTGTAGGTTGTGGTTTTGAGAGTATCGATCCATTGCAAGGGATGTGAAGGGAAGGTTAGAAAGCATATCTCCAAAATGGAAGGTACTAAAGAGTCTCTTCTTCATTCTACAACATTTAATTAGTCTTACTAAACCCAGCGAGAAGATTTATATATACGATTCAAACTGAAACGTTCAACGGATATGTGAGATACTGTCTAAATTTTGTCAAAGATAAATATTATAAAAATGGATATTGGTTAGGAGCTTTGATGTTTAGTGATTTGACTTTACCTGATCATCGGATACTTCTGAGAGACAACTTTTTCCTTTTTTTTTGTAGAAAATTTGAATTAAAAAAGAAATGGATATACTAACTATATAGTTGTTAAATAAAATTTAACAGGGGTGACATCATACACCATTGATATAGCAACAAAGAAGGTGACGGTGGTCGGAAAGGTAACACCTTCTGCAGTAGTAGAAAGCATCTCAAAGGTCAAATTCGCTCAGCTTTGGCCTTCATCTTCGTCTCCTTCGTTTTCTCACGTTCCTAATCATTTCCTCCTCGTCAAATCTTAGTTTTTTCTTGTTGTATTCTAATCAAAATTATATTGTTATTAGTCATCGATCATGTTGTGATTGGTACCAATGTAATATTAAGGTTATGTATTTTAACAGACATATGTTGAATCATCCGTGTTCCTTTTCTATATTTACAAAGAGCAAGTCGCATAAACGAAACTACATATTATAAACCTTATTTTCTAATTTACGTGTCTATAGATGATAATGTTTTGATTTGGCATATCGTTAAACATTTTTTTTTTGGTTTAAATGTTTTTAGATGTTAAAACCAAATTTCTAATAACTTGACTTCAATAGCTTGTAAATAGTTTGACGTTATTAAGGCATATGATTGATCCTAATGCTGGGTAATAATTACCAAATACGACCTACACACCATATAAAGTTTGTTTATAAACCGGCCATACGAAATTCTAGGATGTTTTCGTTTGGACTATTACTTTCAACTTTATTGATTGCTTGATATTATAACTCATATGGGGTAGTATATAATAATATGAAGACATCTATAGACACGTGCCTTGCATATTTGTGGGGATCGGAGAAAATGAGAAAAAGGATGAATAATGTGATGCGAAACATGAGGACCATTGAATGTCTGGCGTGCTACCGATATTATATAGTCTCATAAATAGTGAAAAGTAAAACATTTAAAATACAAATTATGATCAAAGTTATCTTTTCTTTAGTGTCGTAGGGACATGTGCCTCTTTCAATCACATTCAGCGTGGGTCGAATTTGGTTCTAATGTTCTCCAAACATAACAACATTTTGAAATGACATGTTTTTAGTTAATGATAGCTTAGTTTACTGATACTTAAAACGTGAAATTTTATGGTCGATCAAAGTGAAGTTTTGAAATACCGATAGGGCATGGATGTGAAGGCATGGTTCGCTCACATCTGAATTTTTTAGTCTACATAAAATCGAGGTATAAGTTATCAAAAAGCTATCAAACCCAACGTATGAATTTGTTTGATAAAGACTAAGTTCTGGCTCCAAATAATTCTTGATTCAGTCTCATGCATGTTTAGATGGTGTAAGAGTGGAAGATATACGGGTGGTCTTAAAACAGGGTCACTGATAGGAGGAAGAAGGAACGAAATTTCAGGAGTAGACATCAACGAATACACAAGAATATCATTTTATAAATTTATCGATCAAAAAGTATTGTTTAACTTTGTTTTGTGGAAGTTTTGCATAACTTTAGACTAAAACTCTTTAGGCGGCCGGAAAGATTTAAAAGCCAAAAAGTACGAAAATAAAAGTTATCTTATACGGTTTTTCTAGCGAAATTTGGTACGTTGTAGTATGAGGATTTTTCAAACATATAGTCCAATAAAAATTGATATTATGATTTTCTCAATATTATCATATTATGATCTTAAAGATAAAACAAAGTGTATTGGTGGACGTCAAAATTATTAGATCGTATACGCGTCTAAAATTCTCAAGAAACGATGAAGTTAAACTAATTAAAAAAGACCATCTCAAAGTAGAGAAAGTAACTTATATTTACATCAAGCCCTTTGTCAAAAAAAAAAATTATATTTACATCAATAAACTCTACATATATTGTAATGTTTAAAGTATATGAATAAATAAAGTTAATTGTTAAAAGAAACTGTATATATACTGTACAAACTTTAAAATAATTAGTTTACTCTTACAGATATTTTTCGACTTCAAACTTTGAATCTTGCTTTAGAATTTTTACGAGACAAAAGAAAAAGAATTTTTACGAGACATCTTAATATTTACTAACAAATCTACAATTTTTACCCCCAAAATAAAAACACTTAAAATCGGTGAGGAAGTGAAGACATATAGTTTATGCATTATGCATGTGTAAAAACTAATATATAGTTTGAAGATATTCGAATTTCTTTAGTTATCAACTGATAGTTCGACGTTCTCTACTTATTAGTAATTTTCTAATATTTTGGGTAAATTCGTATAATTTTGGATATTTCTCAAAAACACTTTTTTCACAATTTCCACCATGCAAATCTCATCATTATGTCAAATACTCTTCTTTCACGTTTCCCACCAAGCAAATCTCCAATGACGGCAACTAATGATAGAGCATCATTATGTCACTTTTATAACATGACATGCTTTGCTTCATTTGAGCCATACAAATGAAATATGCTGGGCATTTCTCAATCTGTTTTATCATTTCATTGTTCAAATGTTTATTGATATCACTCCCTCCATTTTTTTTAAACATGAAGTTTTGGGTCTTGACCAAGTACTGATTGTGGTTAAGTGATAATGAGACAGCTCTGGACATCAACATGTTTTAGGTTCTTCTATTTGTTGTGCAGAATTAAATCACAATTATTCTATTCACCAAATACATATATGAACCTATGTTTTAGAATCCATTTGAATACCCAGAAAGAGAGTATGAATCTCTCCATGGGTTACTCCTCAGATTAATCAAAAAAAAAATATTGGGTCTTTGCATACTTATTAAAAAATACTTTGTTTAATATAGTTTATTAAAAATATAATTTAAACTAATGTATTTAATTATAAATAAAAATAAAAAAAAAACATAATTAGCTACACAAATTTTAATAAAGTTTAAAATATCTAGATATATAAAAACTTCTTCTATTATAAAACAATAACAATCGTTAATAACATTATATATACTGAAACAGATGAAGTATTTTATAATTGGCAAATTTTAAACGGACTGCAATACCAAAACAAAGTGAACATGGAGAAAATTCTGAATTTTTCTTAACTAATTTCAGTATTCATATGTTAAATACAGTTTTATTTAATAACTGACTTTTAAACAAACTTTATCAGAGTTACTTTCATTTCCAAAAATGTGCAGACGGTTTTAAAATGTGGTTAACTAGTTTGTTATCTCACAGTAGTAGCATCTTTTAGTATTATTCCCTCGCACAATGATAGTTGTTGGCCTTGTAGTGCCTTTAGGCCCATATGATATTCATCAAAAGTTTGTAAGCCCACAACACGTTTGCGTAGACGAGGCATCTTCTTTCATGCCCCTATTTTTTTAAAGCTAATCTCTTATGGGTTCATAAGATCTCTTATACCCCTATTTCATAATTTTTTTTTTTTATCAAAATCCAAACCCCTAACTAAATCCTTCCCGATGTTCAAAACTAAACAACCTCCCCCCCCCAATGGAATAGTGAACCCTTAGGCAAATATTTAAATTCTATAGTGATCAAATTTCAAAAAAAATATTTTTTAAAATCGTTTTTAATCATATTTTGATGATTTTCGTGAAAATATGAAAATTTAATTTTTTAAATTTTGAAATATTTTTATCAAATTCTATAAATCAAATAAAAATATACACGTTTCCAGATTAATTTTATGATTTTTCGTTTGACATATAAAATTAAAAAAAAATATGTGTCCTAGAAAGATTAGAGAATGAGAAATAGGAGCATGAGAGGAATTGCCTCTGCGTAGACAGACCCCACTGTTAATATTAAACCGAATAGAACAAAAAGATATAATCGATTATAACTTAAATCTGATTAAAAAAATTAAACTGCTTATAAACCGAAACATACACTGTTGTATAGGCCTAGACGTTCAGATAACCAATCAGATTTGATATGCACCTAGTCGGTTTTCAGTTTTTCAGAGATATAAAGTTACTCTATTTGAATATTTTAAAATTTTGATTCAGATTTGGTTAATTTCCTCATAGAATTTTGATATAGTAACTCGTCTCAAGTAAATTGAACCTATTTTAATTTTGGATTTATTTTAATTCAAGATTATATTACCTACTACTTATTTATTATCTGAAAATCATCACTTTGGTTCACAAACGTAGCAAAATTAAATAATTTACACTAGCATGAGATAATGGCGTGATTTAAAAAAAATAGTTTAAAGAAGATAAAACAAAAAGAAGCTAAAAATACCAATAGCAACTCTATAAATGCATGAAAATTAAAAATAAATCATTATTGTTTAAACATCAAAAGCAAACTTATTTATAATTAAACTTTAATAAATTATAAAACATTAAAAACCTCAATATTTGACCAAATACTGAAATTTACATTAAGTATAATATTTGAGTTAATTATTTATGTAATAAATATTTTTAGATATTTATTAGAATTTCAAATATTTTAGATATTTATTCGATATTGAATTCGAGTTTGGTATTTTTTTATATTTTAAATTTTTATTTTTCTTATATCTATTCAGTATTTTCGGTTTAAATAAAATTCAAAATCCAAAATAACATAGATAAAAGATCATTTTCGAGATATATGTCAGATCCGATTCAGATTTTCAAGTTGTGGTTTTGTCCACCCTTACCATTACTTTGAGGTTGATTGGTATACGCTTTAGATGTGCTGTAGAAGCTTCCACAGCCAATTTCGAGAGCATAAATTAAGTTTTTCCAATCCAACTATGGAAATTTTTTTTAAACTACAGATTTTTCCTTTTTTTTTTTTTTTGCTGTGGAAAACACTAAACTTAAAACATTTATTTTTTGTTTCTGAAAATTTATATATAAATCATTAAATCTATAGGTAAAATCTTACAACCAAATTGTTTACAACAACATAAAAAATCTACAATTTTAATTTTACAAAAATAAAATATAAAGTTACAACTCATTCCAATCAATTTATTTGTCGTTTTCTCATATTTTCTATACTTTGTAAACAGAAAATTCAAAATATAACGTAACAGAAAAAAACACGGATTTGATACACTTCTTCATATCGAAAGTTGAAACAATTAGCTTAAGGTTTTAAAAATGTAACAAAAAAAAAACTTAAATAATACTGTATTGATATTAAACAAATCTGTAACTTCAGAAACAATACAAAACCCAAATTTCAAGTATTTTCTTATACAACTCTTTCACATTTAGCTTACAAATGACACATCACATACATTCCACACCAAACATTCCCAAACTCCATACATAACATTTCAAATAAAAACTAGTAAGAAAGATAGACCGTACACTGAAGAACAGTTTCAAGTCCATCAGTGAACTGATGCGGCTGCTGCTGTTGCGTCCCGCTAGATCCTGTAAACGTCTTCACAATCGCAAATCCTCTCGCGTTCACATACTTCCCAGTACCTCCCATAACTCCTAAATGCGATTCGGAAGCCGCTGTTCTATGAACACCAAAGAAGCTTATACTATCTTCATAACCACCATTCTCAAACATGGCAGTGAACGCCATCGTCTGACTAGTTCCATCAACCGCACTCGCCACATAGTATCCCTGCGCTTTTCCGAGCAGACCAGACCCGAGTTCGTGGCCTTCAGTTAGTTCATCGTCAATCACTGTCATTGTCCCGAACATAAGCATCTGTAGAGCAGAACCGCTAGGGAGCTGACCGCCGTTAGCAACTGGTAGACCGTTTAAAAGGTTGTTGTTACCGTTATTTCCGTTGTTTTGGAGAATGTTAGCAGTGGTTCCACCGAGTCCAACGAGAAGAGGGACGTTGTTGTTGTTGACGATTCCATTGTTGTTGTTGTTAGATGGAACTCCGTTGGTTATGGGAAGGTTTGCACCATTGGGTTTAGCGAATGGGAGCTGACCACTTAGAGCCGGGTTCGCAACGACTCCGGTTACGGCTCTAGCCGTGGGGTTTGAGCCGCCGAGTATATCGTGCATAAAGAATACTAATGTGTGGTCAGGACCTATGCCACCACCGCCAAGAGCTGGACCGGCACCTGCACCACCGCCAAGGGCTGGACCGGCACCTACACCAGGACCAGTGGATGAACCACCAGCCGGTAGAGGGACAGAACCAGCAGCTGGTAAAGGACCGGGACCAGTGGCAGGCAAGGAACCTGGACCACCACCAACAGGTAAAGAACCAGGAACAGAGCCAGCGATTGGTAAAGGACCTGAACCACTTGATGAGACTGGCCCTGTTCCTGCACCGGGACCAGTTGCACCAGGACCTGAACCACTTGATGGTATTGATCCTGTTCCTGAACCGAAACTGATAACCGCAGGACCCGAGCCAGCTCCTACAGAACCTGAGCCAGACGCTGGTAAAGGACCAGGGAAGGGACCAGAATTTGAGGCAGAGGCAGGGGTGGTTGTGGCTGGGAACGTATCTTCTTCATCAAGTTCATCAAGAAGTCGAGCCGCAGCTGCGAAAGTAACGAAGAGAGCTATAACCAGGAAGGAGAGTATCTTTTGACCTGCCATTGAAAAAGAAAAATGATCAGAGATGCAAAGATTGATGTTTGAACTTAATGTTTTGTGATGATGGAAGTTGATTCTGAGAGAGTATATATAGATAGGAGTGAATAATATACGAAGTGAGATTGTTAATAAAAGAAGATGGAGTTGATGAAATGGAGCAAGTACGTATAGCTTTCAAAAAAAAAATGGAGCAGGTACGTACCAGCATTTTATATTATTTGAGGTTTGGTTTTGAAGAAGAAACATACAACCTCCCCCCCCCCCTCCTCCCCATTAAACCCCAAGATTTGAATGTTGGTTCCGATTAAGACAATATGCTTTAACCGAAATCCAATAAGCGAACTGTAACCGAAACAGTCGGTATGGAAAAGGGGATTCATAATTTTACGCATCTTTTTGCTTTGAAACTCTTACCAGATCCTACTTGGATTTTGTAGACCTGTTAAATACTCCCTCCGTTCCTAAAACATCCATGTTCTAGAAAAATATTTTGTTTCAAAAGGATGTATATTCTATGTTTTTAATGAGAAAATTACAAGTTTCAAAAAAAAAATTGGTTTTATTAGATTACTATTGGTTAAAAGTTGTTGAAAATTGAAAATTATTGAAAACGATAGTGATTTAATATGTTTTCTTAATATGTGTGAAAACAAAGTCTATCTTTTAAGAACAGAGAAAGTATTTAAAACATGATAAGAATTAGTACGATATTTCGGTATTTCCTAAATAACGTTAATTCTCATTATTATTATTATTATTTTGACAAAATTAATTCCCATTAATGGATTGCATTCTCATTGTAAACAGTTATCACATTTATGGATTACCTTTGACTGCCATTTAGTATATGGATTAATGACTAAAAATCTGTCCGTATTTACAGCAGCAGTATTAGATTAATTTGACTAATCTGAAGGACGTTTAGATAATTTTATTGAAAACTTATAAAAAGATATTAGGATACAATAATTATTCTAAATTTGATTTAATTATTTAAACGAGTTAAACTTTACTTTGGTTTTGCATATAAAGTTTGGTAGCTCTTCCCTCACTAGTCTTCCTCATTTTAATTACCTTCAATTGACTGGATACCTAGTTAATTTTTAATTTCTTTGTTTTTGATAAAATGGTTCAAGTAATTAAGTGTTCTCATTTGATATAGTTAATGTACTAACTAATTTAATCGATTAGGGTTATGTTTCTAATTATGTTAGATATTTTGATTTTACTAATTGCTGAGCCGAGAGAACCAATTAAAAGAAGTTTCATCCTTGGGTTGTTTATTCTCTTTATTTATTCAAAACGTGACAACGAGTCGAGAACAATGCACCATAGTCCAACACAAACCAAAAGGAAACAAAAAAAAAAGACTGCTAAAAATACTTGCTTAAACCACAAACCAAACTAAACCACCATATCATCTTTTTTTCATACTTAGTTGGGTGGAGGGAAGAAAATGGCATCAGAAGTCCTCTTAGATCGGAAAGCCTTCTCCACCTCCGGAGCCACCTTAAACGCTGCCTGCAAAACCTCCGGCGATAATGCCTTCCACACCGATGTCTTCCCCGCCAAATGCGTGAAAATGGGACTACAAAAACATTTAAAAAACTTAATAATAAGTAACTTTAATCTCTAAATCTATCCAAATATATAATTAAATAAAAAGCATCTTACTCAGGAGTAGTCACAATGGAGAACCAAGACAAGCCATCAGAATCAGCAATCTTGGACACAACAAAGAACCTAGGAACAATAAACAAAGCTCCAGCTTTCACATGAGTCTCAAGAACTCTCTTCCCATCCGCACCAACGACCTGAACACGACCGCTACCACCAACAATGTATGTAACCTGAAGAGCAGAGTCACAAGAGAATCCTGGAGAACACATCGAGTGTCCATCAATCCTCACAAGATCAGCACCAAATCCAACTTCACCTACCAAGGGAAGATTCTTTGTGTTCAACACAACAACTCTTCCTCCATCCTTGATATCAACATCAAGAGGAGCCTCCAAGCAGTTCAACACAAACCCTTCTTTGTCACCTTTCCTAGGTGAAGGCATCTTCAAACTCGCATCAACCTTCACAATCCCATTACCTGTCTGAGACCCGACAAGCTTCTTCACGGTTGTCTCATCGAGATCCCATGCTCTGCCTACAAACTCAGTTGAGAAACCGGTGAAGATTCCATTGGATCCGGTTAAGTAAAAGTCGGTGAACTGTCCTGCTTTGTGACCCTTGTGCGTCTCACCGAGGAAGAGAATGACTAGCTCTGTGTCTGCATTGTTGAACCACCATGTCACTACACCAAAGGGTAAAGCTATGGAGTCTCCTTTCTTGATTTCAATAACTTTCTCCTCTTTCTCAGGGAGAACAATTCCAGCTGTTCCAGATCCTGACAATTGTTTCAAGAAACATTCTTATAATATCATTCACGAAAAATGGTTAAATCATAATATTATAATTTTAAATAATAAAAACGTACCTTGAAGAACATAAGCGACCTTGGAAGAATCAGAGTAGCGAGGAAGAGCTAAGCCATACTTCTCTAGAGCCAGCTTAGCAGCTCCAATGTTACCATCACGTAGCATTGGTAACTCTTCAGGGCACCATGCAAAGTATGAACCACCGTCTCCTCCGTACACTTTCTTTGGTAATCTCGGTGAAAGATCCAACTCCATTGTTAAACGCTTAATTAAAACGGTGAGAAAATATAATTAAAGATAAGAGAGACGTTTTGATGTGAGAAGTGATTGATAGAGAGGGTATGTATTTATATTGGCTGAGAATTATCCATTCGGTTACCAATTGAGAGAGTCTTTGGAAACAGATCTTTGACTCTGGATAATTACACTGATTAAAGTTTGGATAATTGTGGATAATATGGTAATTTTTCTAATTCATAAGTAGTAGTATTTAGAAACTGTTTATTTACCAATTGTCTACCTTATCTGAAACTATTAAAAATTATTAGTATATATAATTTCGCAACGGATCTGAAAATTTTACATATTATTATATATGCATATGATATATCTTTATTAAAAGTTGATATCGTAATGTTTATTATNTTACATATTATTATATATGCATATGATATATCTTTATTAAAAGTTGATATCGTAATGTTTATTATTCCATCCGTTTCATAAAAAGTGTCACTTAGATATTTTTCACACACATTTTAGAAACTAAAATTATTTATAGAATCAATGCATTTGTAATTAATATTGTGGATAATATGGTAATTTTTCTAATTCATAAGTAGTATTATTTAGAAACTGTTTATTTACCAATTGTCTACCTTATCTGAAATTATTAAAAATTATTAGTATATATAATTTCGCAACGGATCTGGAAATTTTATATATTATTATATATGCATATGATATCTCTTTATTAAAAGTTGATATCTTAATGTTTATTATTCCATCCGTTTCATAAAAAGTGTCACTTAGATATTTTTCACACACATTTTAGAAACTAAAATTATTTATAGAATCAATGCATTTGTAATTAATATTTAACTCAAAATTGCATTGGAACTCTAAAATGACATTTTTTCTGTAACAAAAAAATATTAAAATGACACTTATTTAGAAACAGAGACAGTA